CAGCAGGGGGTGTCATGTCTGCCCTGATGCACCGAACTTGCTACATTTAGATGCAGATAGGGTTCCTTGGGGTCCTATGGGCTAGAATTTCCATTCTTATTCAGTAGTGTAAGAGTTGAAACCTCAGCCCAAAGTGGCCATAAGTCTATAAAACTCTTTGGCAGGGCATGATGAGACCTGTATTGCTCTATGGTAGTTCTCATGGTGAGAAGTTGTCTTGGGACCTATCAGGGACTGTGCCATAGCAAAGCTGGACCTCTCCTACTCACTGTTGTTAGTTCCCCCTGCTTAGTTGGAACTGGAAATTCACTTCATAATAGAGAGTGGAATAAAAGCAGTGTTTAATCAGTACCTTGGGCTGTATTATAGAGCTTTCAGGTGAGGGTGAGATTCACATCCTCTCTACTCTGAGAGAGATAAACTTATCATTGTGTATACCAGTATCTCCCTCTTTCTGCAGCCCTGGCCCTGAGACCTAGGGTCTGTGTGTAGGTTAACCCCAAAGCCTTTGTCCTAGTACAGGTTCCTCTGACATCTAGGACTTGTCACCAGAGGAAAGCCCTGTGGGCTCATTCCCCAGACCAGAAACTTCTCTGCCATCAGGTAGGAAGCAGAGCTCTGCTCCTTCCAGAAAAGAGTAATAGACAGCGAGAGAAAGAAAAGAGAGTTGGAGAGCTCATTTCAGGCCTGGTTCATCAACTGCAAATTCTCCTCTCCCAGAACTTTTCCTTGAGGCACAAGGTCTGACAAACTTCAGGTCTTTTTTTTTTTTTTTCTTTTATTCCAAGCAGACCTTAAGCCTTGCTTATACCAGAGCTGTGATCTGGCCCAGTGCGAGTAGTGCTTGACAGCCCCATATACCCATACTAGCCAACACACACTTCAGACCTGGAAATTGGCCAATGAGGCTGTTTTAATCTTGTCCTCAGGTGCTGTTCTCAGGACTCCTAGAGACGGAGAGCTTGAGAACAAATATTGGGGATGAAGCCCAAACAGCCTCACTGGTAAAATTTATAGGTCTATAATACAACAGTGACCTTGAGCTGGGAGAGGGAATGCTCGGTGGTGGCTGGGGCCAGGCTGGCTGCAACCTCTGGACTGCCCCCTCTAAATGGACATGGGACTGGTGGGCACAGACCCTGGCTGTTATACCTCTGAGTTCTCCCTGGCCAGATGAGACTTGGATTTGGAACAGAGCCATTGGGAATCTGAGTCTGAAATTTGTTAGGGAATGCACAGCACACTGACCTCCATCCCCAGCTTTGAGACCACTTGGAATTAGGCCTCTTATATGCACCCAGGTGCCAAGATCTGGCCCTGCTCTGGGGCATGTCCGAGCCAGGTAGAATAGCAGTGCTTTCCTTTTGCCAGTGGCACAAGAACTAATTTCTGGGTTCCTTTTATCCATCCAGCACATACTGGGATGGTGAGCAGAGCGGACCAGTGGCCTCCTGAGGAAGATCCTGCAAATCTGGAGGTGGTTTCAACCAGGAACCAGCTACCTATGGCATGGGAACAGAGAGCAGCTGAGCTCCAAAAGAGTCTGACATATAGGGAAGGATTCAAGAGACAGAGAGACTCCAGGAGCTATGAGAGCAGGACTCGCAGAGGCGAAGTGTTGTATATATGTGGAGAGTGTGGTGAGAGCTTTGGGGACCAACAGGAGCTGAGGGTGCACCGGGAGACCCACAAGAGGGAGATGGTCCACCCCTGCACGGAGTGTGGGAAGAGCTTCCGTTATAAATCCTGTCTCATCAAACACCAGAGAATGCACTCGGGGAAGGGCCCCCACCTCTGCCTTCATTGTGGGAAGAGCTTCATCCAGCTGTCTTGCTTCCAAGTGCACTGTCATATGCACTCTGGGGAAAAGATGTACCCATGTACTGATTGCGGGAAGCGCTTCAACAACCCATCCCACCTCCAAGTACACCAGCGTATCCACACCGGGGAGAAGCCGTACCGTTGTGGCAACTGTGGGAGGAGCTTCACACAGAGCTCTGCTCTCACCACACACCAGCGCGTCCACACTGGGGAGAAGCCATATCATTGCCCTGAGTGTGGAAAAAGCTTCCGGCAGAGCTCTGCTCTAGCCCAGCACCAGTATGTCCACACTGGAGAGAAGCCCTACTGCTGCCCTGAGTGTGGGAAAAGCTTCAACCACCCATCCCACCTGCGAGTCCACCGGCGCCTCCACACGGGGGAGAAGCCACACCTCTGCCCTGTGTGTGGGAGGAGTTTCAGTGATCCATCCTATCTCCGAGTCCACCTGCGCACGCACACAGGGGAGAAACCCTACCACTGCCCAGAGTGTGGGAAGAGCTTTGCCCGCCCGGATCTCCTCCGTGTCCATGTGCTCACACACACAGGGAAGAAGCCATATAGCTGTGCCCAGTGTGGGAAAAGTTTCACCCGCCCAGCCTTCCTCCGAGCCCACTTGCACGTCCACAGTGGAGAGAAGCCATACCGGTGTGCCGAGTGTGGGAAGAGCTTCCATGATCCATCTCACCTCCGGCTCCATGGGCGCATACACACAGGGGAGAAGCCATATCACTGTGTAGAATGTGGGAAGAGCTTCAACAGCCCGTCCCACCTCCGTGTCCACCAGTACGTTCACACTGGGGAGAAGCCATACAGCTGTGCTGAGTGTGGGAAGAACTTTGGCAGCCCGTCCTATCTCCGTGTGCACCAGCGCATCCACACTGGAGAGAAGCCATGCCACTGTGCCAAATGTGGGATGAGCTTCAGGGATCACTCAGCTCTTAACAAGCACCAGCGAACCCACAGACCAGACCCTAGCCATTCGACAGGGGCCAGTTTCTGCCAGCTCTTGCCTCATCCTCTTCCCCACAGCCTGTACCCTGAACTGGGGGTGGGAGAAATGTCCTGAAATGTCCCCCACCTCCCCATTCACCAGACCCTGGGTTTGCATGGCCCTGGGCACAGGGATGTTCTCTCAGCAATCGAGGACCCAATAGTGGGGTTAATGAACTGAAGCTGGGATACAGGAGATGACTGGGCTCAAGGATACACTTCAGGAGCTCTGGTTTCTCCCAGCTCTGTTATCCATATTTCAACATCCAAGGACCCTTCTTCAAGTCCCACTACTGCAGGGTTGAGGAAGAGGAGGAACAAGACAGATTTTATTCACTTTCATTTGGCTGATCAAGCCACTAGTCTTCAAGTTGTGTCCATAGTAATGCTATGGTCCTTTTCACTGTGTAGTAGTCCTCCTCTCAGTGGTCTGTTACTGTGTGGTAATGCCGTGCTCTATCAGGCTTTCTTGTGGAAGGATCTTAGGTGGGAACCATAAGATTAAAGTGTGGGTGATCTTTCTTACCCAATTTAATTTAACTGCAAGATAGATTAAGGGGAAGGTGGGGGTAAGGCTGCCTTGAGGCTGAAGTAAGAGAAGGAGAAAACTTTCCCACAGTAACTGTGTTCTGCCAGAGCGTGAGAATCTCTCCAGCAAACACCATCCCAGGAGCCAACTGCAAAGAGCATGGAGCCATTCAGATAGTAGCGTGCACAGCCCATACATCTTTCCCCCTCCCCCCAAAGGGTTCAAGGTGATGTAGTTCTCTGAACAGACTCAGGTGCCCACTTTGTGGGGGAGGGGGACATGAACATGAATAAGAGCCATTGCCACTGGTGTATTTGGGATAATTGCTGGTTTTGTGGACATAATTATGGTAGTCTGGGAAGGTTTTGCATACGGTGGTTTGTAGGGTGCCATCCAAGATATGAATTGTGATTATCTAGAAAGTTGATATTTATTAATGTAAAAATATTCTGGTGCAAGTTTGATCAAGGGGTGCTAGTTGTTGAACCTATAGTGGAAATCAGTGAGTCCAACTGTTCGATTCAGGTGATGAAAATCATTTATGTTTACCTGGTTAAGAGTGCAGGTTTGATTGTTGAAAATGAAGCTGCTCTGTGTGAGGATTAAATGGACATGAAGTTGCAGATCTAACTGTAGTCTGTTTTCTAGTAGATATTTCAGGCAGGCAGCTGTGTCTTCATGGTGTGGAATATTAGTGTACAGGGTGCTGACATCCATGGGTGCAAGTATGGCCTTCTCAGGAAGGTAGATGATAATCTCAGTTTTGTTGAGGAAGTCTGTTGTCTTGCAGAAAAGTTGCTCTTTGGGTGACAAGTGGTTTTAGGATAGTTTCTGTGAACTCTGCTACTCTTCAGTGAGGGTACCATGGTTGGATCATATAATGGTCTACCAAAGTCATCTTATTCGTGGATTTTTAGGAGTATATAGAAAGCTCGTGGAGGTGGAGAGTGGGGGATAAGTGGAAGTAGTTTTTCCTTAAACTGGTACAGAAAGGGTTTAATAATACACTCCAGTTCCAGAGTAAATACTGGTGGGAGAACCTCCTGAAGTTCTTCGTAGTAACTGGTGTTACAGCTTTGTCCAATGGTTTGATTTACTATTTCAGTGTTGGATCTTAGGGACTATATAACCTTTCTTTCTGAGAGAGAGAGGGAGAGAGAGGTTATCGCTATCCTGGCTTTTCTTCAGGATCTGCTGTTAGCTTTCTTCCTGAAACAGTCAGTGAAATAGTCCAGCATGTGATTCGCTCTGCTGGGAAGTGTTTAATCCAATGTGATTTTGTTGTTGTTGTTTGTTTTTATCTGTTGTGGCAAGAAAGTTGTCAGAGGTGGTTCTGTCCTGGTTGTGGAAGTATTTTCAGGCAAAGTCTGCAGAACAATTCTTCTAATTCTCCAAATATTAGTATCTTGTCAAGTTGTTCCTTTGGGCAGAAGTTCAAGGCCTTTGAAGAGCACAGATACTTCCAAGTGGGATGAGGAGGGTGTTAATGATGTAGGTGTTCTAGGTGATGCTGTTTTGATTCTTCCCGGCATTGCTGGTGTGCTGCCTATGAGGACTTCTGTTGTGGTAGCCAATTCCCCTTTTTTCTTCTTAAGCTGGATGGCTGTCATCAGGTATTTTTGGTGGTATGTTTGGGTCTGCTGTATAGTAATCATTTATGTCTCTAGGTTGATCTGTCTTAAGTAGCATAAGTAAGTATTGTTACCAGACTTTAATATTAGACTTCATAAGAAATCCTAAAATGCTTAGACAGCAATAGTTTGTTCTCTGAAGAGAGTCTGAGCACAGCGATTTGCAATTTCAAGCATGCAACAAACAACAGAAAAACTCTGCCTAAGCTAAGACACAGCCCAATAAGACACAGTAACAACATACAATTTAGCCTAACTTCAAATGTAACATAAGCCAAAAAGACAACAGAAAGCCTTGCATAGATATTATGTAATCCTGAGGGAAGAACGTCTAATTGCAGCCAGGTTTTTGGAAGGTCTTTCTGGGAATCTGCAGATCTGGGCAGGTGAGGAGGAGATCCCACAGACCTCATCTTTACCTGGGTTCTCTTATAGGTGATCCGTGCCACCTCCTCTCCGTTTAGTGCCTTGATAATAGTATGCTTTTTACATCTGCCATGTATCACATACCTCTCATAACTCACATGTTCAATGTCTTTGTCTCTTCTCAGGTATTCCAGCCTCTCACCTCTTAGGTTCCGCTTTGAAATGTAAATGTAGCTCCCTGCATGTAGCTTTAGAATCAGTAAAAAGGTTTGCAATCATTATGATTGTGCCAGGCCTTTGCTAACATATCCTGTTTTAAGTTTATCCCTTTTAGAGTAGGTTAGATGAATAAAATGTTTTCTCAGTTTTTCTGTGCAGGAGAACCTCAGTTGTGCTGCATATATGGAGTTGTGAGTGTTGGCTAAAAGTTGCAGATGAGTCTCCTTGGAATGATGTTAGGTTTCTTGTACAAGCTTAAGAAAATGTCATGCACTCTGCCTTCTCTTTTCTTTAGGTTTTGGATTTTCTATGTGAGCAGTAGACTTCTATATCTTCCATGTTATGGTGGTGTTAAAGTGATGATGTAACCATAATGGTCAAGAAATTATGTGAGGGGCAAGTATTTTTGTGGGTGGTATCTTCTATTGGACCAGCTGCATGGTTGAGCTTTTCTCCCAGACCCGAAAAAGAATGCCGTGTATTTGAAAGCTTGTCCCAAGTAATTAGGGAAGACTTTATCATTGCCTGCCACCTCTTGCCTCCTGGGATTGCTGCTTGGCATAACTGCTGCTCCACCGCTCAGTGGTCATGCCACCCCATTGCTCCACGGTCTGGATCAGTGTGGAGGTCATGTCACTTGCTGCCGTCACCACTATCACAGCTTTGGGGATCGCAACCTCAGGTTTGCCAACACTGCTGCTGTTCTTGAGAGCACCACTGCACTTGCCTCCTGACTCAGAGGATCGCCGCTAGGTTAGCTGCCCTGTGGCCACCACGGCTGTCACTGCATCACACAGGGGAGTTCTGCTTTTGGGACCACTGCTGCCAACCTGTGGAGCAATGCTAAGATGTAGCCTTTTGAAATCACTGCTCTGCTGCTTGCTTTGAGGAGTGCTGCATGGGGTTGTCACTTGTGCTGCTCACCACTCTGGGTTGTTGTCTGCTGTTGCTTTGTAAGTGCTTCTGGGATCTCTAGCTGCTGGTACAGAGAGCACCCCTTCTGAGATGTTAGCTCTTGGTCTCAGTGCCACAACTCAGTTGTCTATTACTATTGAAGGTCTTACCAGCCTCAGTAAGAATGCCTTCAAAGGAGGACTCCACAGTGTAGTCTCCTTGGGCTCTCTCCCTTTAAAAAAAAAAATCATGTGTTGTTGGACTTAACTCAGGGTACAGTGTGTTCTCACATCCCCATGATCCCTATGCAGCTGAGATCAGGATATGCACGTGCTGACTGACCCCGAGATCAGGATTCTCTTTGTACAGATCCCACATGAGAAACCTGCTAGGGCGCCCACTAGGAGATGTGCCAGTGCTTGGAAGGAGCTGGGAGAAATGTGTAGGTGCTTGGGTGATAAGAACCTTGTGGGAATTGGGTGCCTAGATGGGGCCTGGAGATCTGATTCCATTGTGCCCAGTTAAACACTGGACTGGCCTTTTAAGATGGGGGAAACTCTGCTGCGTATATTCTGGGTGCAGAGAATGAGTGGTGAGGGGGTGGGAAGGATCAATGACTGGGGGAGATAAAAGGGCAGCCTGAGGCTAGACAAAGGACCAAGGGTGTTGGGATTAGGGGTTAGGGGATGGGTTGGAATTGGTGGGTGGGCATGGATGTGGTTGTTGGGGTTGAGGGGAGTGGGGGTGGAGTAGAGGTTAGGGTTGCAATAAAGGGGTTAGGAGTTAAGTGTTAGGATTAGGGTTTCCTCCTGAATATTTGGGACCAATATAGAATATGTAGATATTGTATCCTTTTTATTAAGTTTATAGATACTGACAACTTCATTTTTGCAGTCATTGCCTAATTTTCTTTGTATGTATGCATATACTCTCCATCTTTGCTGAATGAACAAAATCAAATCTAAGTGTCTTACCAGGACCAGCCACTGGCTGTCACTGCTGCTCCTGGCTAAGCGAGCAGCCCTTTGCAGTACCCAAACCACTGGATGTTACTGCTGCTCCATATAGGGATTAAAACACAGCCTTTGCTGGCCTCTAAGTGGACCCCAAGTGTCACTGCTGCCCCACATGGAGGTGAGGATGTAATTCACCCTGCCTAGTCTAACTAGAAGTGGTGCAATCACTAGGAAAAAATGTTTATTTATTAATTTGCAATAAAGGGACTGAACACCAAGGTCAAAGATCAGTCACTAGTGTTGTTTCAGGTATCAGGCCCCAGTCTCTCTTCCCCAAACCCCATGTCCTTTTAACATGCTGGTTTCTACAGATTCCTTATCCTCTGCGTGTGTTTGGTTTGTGTGGGGACTTGCCTGAGTGTGAAGCAGGGTTGTGAGAATGAATAGGGATAGGAGGGAATATGAGGGAAGGCATAAGCATAATCCTGTGGGCTATAGCATAACAATAACAATGGAAACAGCCCTCTGCCCCATTTGAGAGGGCAAACCTTGACTCCCTAGTACAGCATGCCTTCTAGCCTGGGTACCTTGTGAGATCCCTGAGCCTCACTACTCCTATGAGCAGCAAAACAGACAGTCAAGCATCCCTGGGTGGCTCTACAATCTACCTGTAGGCACCAACTCCTTTTTATGGAGGAGGTGATTGTGTGTTATAAAGTGAAGTTGGATTGGGTAGAAGGGTGTTCTTTTAGACCAGAGGCAGCAGAGTAGGGTGGGAGCAGCCTGGACTGCTTTTGAAATTGGGGGATTTGGAAGCAGACTGTTTTGCTGTACATTCTTTTAAAATTGTTTGCTTCTGTAACTTTTGTCTCTTATTGGAACCTGCCCTGAGCCTTTATTGGGCAGGGTGTCATATCAATCAAATCAATCATTTCTCTCCAGACAGGACTTGAATCGAGGCTCCCAGATTCCAGAAGCCATTTTCTTGCCCATAAGACAACTAGGGCAGGGTGGGAGTCGATACAAGTGTGCAATTATTTCTCAACTTTAAGCCTCTGCTGACGTGCCTCCTTCAAGGACCTGATTGTCTGGGACTTTTGCTGGGGAAGGGAGAGCAGAAGTTTGTTGGTCACTTGCTGTCACCAAGGACACTCAAGATTTTCTTATCTTTGCAACATTAGTGGGAAGAAGAAATAATTCAGTCAGAGACTTGCTCTGTAGTTCATGGTTCTGACATGCTGCTGGCAACCCTGAGGGCTGGTTCATTATGGAGGTAGACCCTCTAGAATTACTAAATCGCCCTGTCTTGGTACACCACCAAAAGACATGGGAACACTAAAGGGAGCAGCAGGGACCTGGGAATGAGGGGAAATAAGGGCTGGAGCTAAAAGCTCAGGAGGTGGACAGAAAACTAAAGAGCAGAGACCTGAGGCAACATGAGGCCTCCACACTTTCCGATTTGCCTTGCTGCAGCCCATGGATTTCTATTTTTTTTTCTTTTTTTCCTCTGCTGTTTATGAAGTTAATCACTACTGGGGCTATGAACAGTGTATACAACAGTGAAAGCAGGCTCTAGGACAGTGAACTAAATCCCCCTATACAGGCTGGCTGCAAAAGCGAGAGTAGTTCCAAAAGTAGCCACAAATGGGCAGTGTGTTGGGCAGGAAGGAGGGTAATTTCCCCTGTCATTTGGTGATGATAATGAATGCATAGAGCAAGCTAAGTAGCACTATTCCTTGACAGTGCTGCTTAATTTGAAGTGCCATGTGGGCAAGTGCCCTTTATGTGTTAGAAGGCAGTCTATCCACAATGCACTTGGGGATGCTGATCAGGAACACAGCTTTCTGTGGAAGCATGACCAAGGTGTGTTTGGAAAGGGGAGCCTCAAAGGTAGAGGTCATTTTCTCCTAGTAATGGAGCTGGATAGTTCCCAGTGCATTTCTCTGAACCCTTTTGAAATGAGCCTGAAGGGCAGAAACCAGGAGATCTCAATGGTTCATGGTAGGTGACCTGGCTTCAGCTATGGGATATGTTGCTTGCAATAGTGGGGGGCTGCATTCAACACCCCATGAGGACCCTTCTAGCCTTATGCCAGCTGAGACAAGAGCCTGAGCCTCTCTACTCTGATAATGTATTTGAAGCCAAAAAGTCCGGTTCAGTGTCTATTGAGATCTGCATGAGTTGAGTTAGTAAGAACAGAGCTCCAAGATTACCCCCCAGCCTCTGAATGGTGGAGCTGAGCACATGTCTAGGTCACTGGCTTGTGTCATACTTGTGTCTCTTTTGATGGTTAGTGTTAGTGTAGCTATAATCCCTGCAAGGGTGCTACTTGAGAGTGCTTGACAAGGGAGGCTAATGTCATTATCCCCACTTTGCTACTGGGCACAACACAGAACCAGCTGGCTGCAAGTGAACAGGGAGCTAGAAGCCAAAGGCTAGGAGCACTCATAGCAGAGCTAGCTGATCTGCAGGTAGGACAACAGGACAGAGCCTAGCCTGGGTCGCAAGGATGTTGCTAGAAAAGAAGTTGCAGGCTGCTATGGAGACCAGCTGTCAGGCCCTGATGAGAAACCCCTGAAAGGGGTTGGGGAAGTCACCTGACCGAAGGAGCAAGGCTTGGGGAAGCATATAAACCCAGGACTTGAATCAGGCAGACAGTCTGGCCTTGGAGATGGTTTAGGAAAGGGCTCCAGAGGGGGAGGAGCTTCTGAGATATACTGCTGCTCCCCTGGACAGGCAGGTAGATTGCTGCTAGCTGGCAGTGGAGTCGGGCTCAGGGTAGGGGAAAGTATTGCGAGTCAGCAGAGGACCTGATGGTTGCGGTTCAGACCCAGTGAGAATCTGTGTTACGGCTTAGTTTTATGTTATAGTTAAACCAGTGGACTGGGTTGGGGACTGACAGGGGAGGTAGGAGTCCCATTATAGTATGTGAAACTTGGGCCTGCCAGGGCAGAGCACAAGTTGCAGCGTAGCCTGAGAGAACCAGGGCCAGGAGCCCAGTGAGAAAGACAGGGCCGGGGTCAAAGGACCCAGCACCTGAGAGGGGCAGTGGCTAGGGTCACAGCCCCAAGACTAACAAGGCATATAGAAGCCAGCTGAGGCAGGAGATGAAACTAGGGCTGAGTGCAAGCGACTCATCTGGGGGGTGCCCGGCATGAGGGGCACCCCAGAAGGGAAGGGAGTAGCATGTGCCCCGGATCTGTGTGCGGGGCAGGGTGGGCTGCCACTGTGGGCTGAGGCTACGGGACTGTGCCGGGCTGTTCCCAAGGGGGCAGGGGGCTGGGCCATGCTGCCCTTGGGGCATGTAGCAGCAGCACTGGGAGGGGAGGTTTGGGGGGACTACGGCAAATGTTGGGGTGGCTGCAGCATTCCCCCCCAACTGTAGCCTCCCTCCCAGTGCCACCGCTGCCTGCCCTGAGTGCAGCCCGACTCAGCCCCCCGCCGGAAAGAGTCTGGCGCTGCCCCAGCCCACAGCGACAGCCTGCCCTTGCCCTGCATGCAGATCTGGGGGCACAGACCCTCCATGCCCTCCTGGGGTGCGTGTAGCAGCAGGAGCAGCACCCCCTGGACCCAGCCCCACTCCCTCCCTCACTGCTACATGCACACCCCTTCGCACCCCTGCTGCATCCACCCAGAGCCCATGGCCAGGCTTCCTTGAGGCCCTACACACTGCCCTGAGTTTGGGGAGGCTCAGCCCCATTAGCCCTGGCCTTCTGCTGCCTATGGGACTAGGTCAAGAATGGCTTTTCCTCTTGTAGTCCTGCTCCAGGAAACAGTCTTTTATAATGTCAAGAAATTTGGTCTCAGCCTAATGGCCTGATTTTTAGATTGACCCAATCTATTTTTGTATAGTTGAAGTCACTCGTTATTACTGTTTTCTGCTTTCACAGCCTCTCAACTCCCTTTCTAGATTGCTGCTGTCATCCTGGTCAAGGGGTCAATAGTGTATCCCTAGATGTACTTTTTTTTCCTACTGAAACATAGAATTTCTATCCAAAGAGTCTATGCCACCTCTTTTATCAGTTGAAAAATCTAGCCTATGTAATTTGATGCAGTCTTTGATGTAGAATGCCACTCCTGTATGACCTATTCCATCATTCCTGTATAATTTATATCTTGATATTACAACATCCCATTGATTTCCGCCCCACCCGCCCCCCTCATTCCAGCATGTTCCAGAGATACCTATTAGGCCTGTGCAAAGTGGCTAGTATTAACTTCAGATTTGGATTCGGCCAATTTGGGGGACAGTGATTCAATTCAGTGATTCGAATCACTGTCTTGAATCGAATTGTCCGAATCTGATTGGGAGATTTGGCTGCTGCTGGATCTGCGAATCACACAGGCCCCATCCGGTCTCCCAGCCCTGCATGGCCCTAGCTCCTGGCTCTTTGAGAAAAAAAAGCCCCAACTCACCGGCTCCTGCTCAGTGGGCTTCCCGCTGCCCCATGCTGCGTGTGGGGGCTGTCACCTGCCCCCTGCCCCACCATGGCTGCTTCAGCTGGTGCTGCATGTGGGGGCTGTCACGAGCCCCTTGATCCCAGCCCCACCATGGCTGCTTCAGCTGGTGCTGCTCCTGCAGTGTGGGGCAGTGGAGGACAGCGGGGATCGCCCCGCTGACCTAGCAGCACCCAGTGAGTGGGGGCTTTTTTTTTAAACAACTGGGAGCTGAAGCAGGCGGAGCAGCCAGGGGCAGGGCTGGGGGAGCAGGCAGGGGATGGGGCCTGGCAGGGGTTCCCCCATGGTCCCTTCCCTCTCCTCCTCCAGCCTCCCTTCCCCCACCCCTACTTATCAGCATGGAATCCAGGTCCAACTCCCTGCTGCAGCCAGCGGGGACTGCCCAAATCGCCAAAGCTCTCCAAATCTTTTCCGAATCGATACAGAGAGCTTCAAATCAATTTGGACCTTGTAATTGGTCCCCTGATTTGATTCGGTGGCCGAATCGCCGAATCTGAATCAGCACCCAAAGCTTTGCACAGCCCTACCTATTCTGTCAAAATCATTATTTACTGCTAAGCATTCCAGTTCCCCCACCTTTGATCTTAGATGTCTAGCATTAGTATGTAAACCTGGCACACAGCACTACCTGCGTGCCACGTCCAAGTGTTGAAATCCTGGGATGCCCAGTAGCATAACCCTCACTTAGCTCTCCTAGCAGGGCCCCTTTTACACTTACAAACCCTTTGCAACCACCAATATAATTATTTACAAAATTTTCATTATATACAATTCAACTATATACAGAATAAGATGCAACTAAAGCAGATACAAATTACAAATTGCTACCAAAATAATACTATATATAGTACACAAAAAGCGCACTGGTAGTACAGAGATTGTCACTTGGGTGCCTGTGGGGTTCATAAACAGTCTGGGACAGCTTCATTTTGCTCTGAGTGTAGGGTCCCTGTTAGGACATATTTCCTTTGCCCCAGTACAGCATCTCCACAGAGACAACCCTCATCGTGGTGCACTTCTGGTCAGGTAAGCAACCCTGCCATGTCTGTTACGAGTATAAAACCACATGTACTGGAGCATAAAATTATGATCCTCCTCCTGCAACTTCTTCTGAGACCACTGTTGCTGAAGCTGGAGCTGATAGAGCATTCACTGTTGCTGGCACATTCCAGGCATTTTAGCACAGCCCCAAAATCCGTTTCTAGTGTCTGATGGCTAAAGCCTCCCTCATTCTCCAACATCCGTAAGTCAGTTGTCTAGCCTACTGGCTTCCTCAGGTGGGTTTTCCTTCACAAGGAACTCCTCAGCCTGGCTGGCTTCCTCAGGTGGGTTTTTCCTTCACAAGGAACTCCTCAGCCTGTCCTCCCAAATAAAACACAGTCTTTAAGCAACAAACAAAGCAACCGGTACGCAAAACCAAACTCTCCTGGACTGCCCTGGGCACTAGGGGCATGTCTACAGTGCACTTTAATGCGCCTTAGCCTATTTTAATGCAGATTAAAGTGTCACAAAAAAACCATGCTTTTTAGCTAATGCACATTAAGGCTAGGGACAGACATTACACATAAACCAGTTTAAGTGATCAGAACTGGTTTAAGCCTGTAACAAAACATAAATTCAGTGCACATTAACCAGTTTCAAAAAGGCTGAACTGGTTTAAGATTCATAGATGCTGGGGTTGGAAGGGAATCAGCGAGTCTGACCCCCTGCCCTGGGCAGGAAAGAGCGCTGGGGTCAGATGATCCCAGCCAGGTGCCTATCCAACCTTCTCTTAAAGACCCCCAAGTTAGGGGAGAGCACCACCTCCCTTGGAAGCCCATTCCAAATTTTGGCCACCCTTACTGTGAAGAAGTTCTTTCTGATGTCTAGCCTAAATCTGCTCTCTGTAAGTTTATGCCCATTGTTCCTTGTTACCCCAAGAGGCATCCTGGTGAACAGAGCATCTCCGATTCCTTGCTGTGCCCGCCTAATGAATTTGTAGGAGGCCACAAGATCACCTCTCAGTCTTCACTTGCAGAGGCTGAAGAGGTCCAGGTCCCTTAGTCTCTCCTCATAGGGTTTGGCCTGTAAACCCTTAACCATATAAGTGGCCCTCCTCTGGACCCTCTTGAGGTTATCCACATCCTTCTTAAAGTACAGCGCCCAAAGCTGTATGCAGTACTCCAACTGCTGTCTGACCAACCCCGTATAGAGGGGAAGTATCACCTCCTTGGTTCTTTTTGTCACACACCTGCTGATGCACGATAAAGCGTGGTTAGCTTTGCTGCTGATTTCATCATACTGATGACTTATGTTCATCTTGGAGTCCACTATGACTCCAAGATCCCTTTCTGCTTCTGTGCTGCTGAGAGGGTCATTTCCCAGCCAGTAGATAAACCTGGTTGAATGTAGTATCAGACTTAACTGATTTGGATGAAACCAGTTTATGCAATGTCTATCCCAGACCCCTTCCTAGTTTAAATTAAACCAGAGTCCCCCACCCCTCTCTCCTCCTTACCCAGAACTCTGAGGGAGACTGCAGGCACAGCAGGATCTGCCTGGCTTCCTCTCTGCTCAAGCCACTCAAACCCTGTGGCTTTATCAGACTGCTGATGGTTTGCAGCCCTGTCAGATTTGCAGACAGGGAGAGGGAGATTAAAAAGCTCAGTATCATCAACAAATGCATGCACTGCCCCTCCTCTCCCTTTGCCTCAGAGTGCTAGCCTGAGGCAGGGGTCTGGCAACACTCCCCCCCCTTGAGCAGCGAGTGAGGGAAAAGCCTGGGATGGTGCAGGCAGGGTGGGGGTTTAAACCCCTCCCTAATCAGAGCATCCTCCTAAGGCCTAGTCATGCCTCAGCTCAGCACTGTAAAAGGGAAGGGAGGGCTGATCTAGCGTCCCCCAGCTTCTAGCCTGAGCTAGATTTCTTCACTCCAGAGAGGATGTCTGTATGGTTACAAACCGGTTCAGCCTAGCCAGGTTAGACTAACCTGCAAAGATTTAATCAATTCAGGGTCAGGCTTTTTGAATGTCTGTCCCTAGCTTAAAACAGGCTAATGCACATTTTTCTAGTATGTCACAATGGAGGGCATTTATAAACAAGCCTTTCTGTCCTGCGATGCACCAGAGATCCACCACTTTGGACTAGACTCAATTAATTGAGTTTGCTCTGCATGCATGCTGATGTGCACTGCACTGTGCTGTGTGCAGTTGTATAAGTGGTGAAATCCACGTCAGTGTGCAGGAAATGGCAGTGGAGCGCTTTTGAACTAAAGCACCTCCAAGGTGTTTTAGTTCAAAAGCGCACTGCCACCATTTTCTTCATGCTGACACGCATTTCACCATTTACACAACTGCACGTGGCACAGCACCGGGCGCTTTTCAAAGCGCCCAGCGCTGTGGAGCTTACATATGTAAAAAAGCCTGGAGTTACTAGATTTAATGTGCATTACCTAAAGTGCATTAATGAACATGTAAAATATACTAGAGGGGAATTGTTTGGCTTTGGTACCAGAACAGCAACCTGGTCCCCCAGTCACAGCGTGCTTCCTCCACTTCCGGAAGCTTTCTAAAACTCCTAGTGGAACACTCTTTGCCTATCCAAATGCCTCACAGCTGAGCCCTCCCAACATGGCTGACTGTTCCCTCTTTAAGGGACAGACTGCCCTGTTACAGAAGTAAACTTGAATGGGAAATCACAGTGGATCAGCTTCTCCCCAGTAACTGCCCATGTGCCTCATTTTACTCCAGGGGCAGCAGCCACAACAGCACTGGCAGCGGCTGGGGGGGCAACAATTGTCCTCAATGGTCCACACTGGATCCAAGCTGAGTTGATCCAGCCCACTTCTGCAAAATCTTGCTGACTGCTCTCTTACTTCATATAACTCACTTAACTGATGATAGTCCATTTTGCAATTGCTGTGGTGTCACCATGCACATGGATTTCCTGCACACAGCTGATGCACTGTACATTCCACCTTATTGTACATTGTGCTGACTTGTTCATATGCCCATACCCTTAAATGAATTTAATTAGCCCCTGTAAATTATAATAAAATGAAGTGCTGTAAAGGAGATTAAACTTTAAACTGATAAGTGCCTACACATGCAATTGTGGTTTAACTAACATGGTTTGAAATCATGTTGGTAGTTAAACTGATTCAAGTTTGGGAATAGATCTGGGCTAAATTGACGTTGTTATTCACTTTGGAGACTTAAGAAAGATTTCCATAAATATTAGTGGTGCCATTGTGTGCCTTCCATGTATATTCAATGGCCATTGCATTTCAGTGGAATGATGGGGTGTGCAAATGGGCAAGTTTCTTAAGTTTCTTCTCTCAGCTGCAAGTGTGTGTATGTGTGTGTGTGTGTGTACATGTGCACACACGCAGTCCCACAAACCTCAGCACTTTTCTCCTTTAGAAACAGTTCTCACTGCAAAATATGTAAAAAGTTCCTATGCGCCTACCCTGAGTAAGTCAACTGCAGGAACTTGCTCATCTGAGAGACAGACAGAGCTGAACAATTTTCCTGTGATTCAAACATGGTGTAATCCACAAAACTTCACAAGAATTTTGGGAAACATGCTTGAGGTAACCAAAGTGATCCCAGAGCAGAATATGTCCATGACTAAGAAAAGAAGTCCTGCCTCAGCACAGCTGAATGGATACTTTATGAGCTAGGATGTGTGCATGCTTCATAGACTGCCCAGCTGTTATGGCAAGGTGA